AAGAAACTATAAGTCCTGGCCTGGCCGAACTTTGAATTCCCTCCACCAAAAAATTGGCAATTTTCAAAAAATAAATAAAATCCGCTAAAAATTCTATTAAAATCTTAAAAATACCAAATGTAGCCGTTATATTAGGGCGTCGATCTGCATTATCAAGATCATTAAAATACCGAATATAGGAAGGTACCATTATATATCACTCTAGCTTCCGAATGAAATGAAGTAGGTTAATCAATTTTATTCAAATTTATATTATGTCTGCAGGACTTTTGGTAGGTCCACGTTTTGGTATAGCCCCCATATAGTGGTACCTCCCTATTTTCGGTATTTTGATTATTAAAGCGACATTATTCACCGGAAATGTTTCAAATTTGTTATTTGAAGTTCGTAATGGATAATACAGACTTGGACAGGAAATTGTCCGGGCAGACCTACGCCTTCGTATAGCCCCCATATAACGGCATTTATCGATCCTATTCACAGGATTTTATCGACCGTATCCACCGGAAATGTTTCAAATTTGGTAGTTGAAGTTCGAAATGATTTTCTGTGCATGTCCATGTCTTCGTATAGCCCCCATATAACTGCACCTTCCGGTATTCGGTATTTTGATGATTTTGCACATTATTCACCGGAATTGTTTCAAATATGGTATTTGAAGTTCGTAATGGATATGACAGAAAATTGTCTGTGCAGGTCCACGTTTTGGTATAGCCTGCATAAAATGGTACCTCCTATATTTGGTATTTTGATGATTTTAGCTAGTTTCGCATTTGAATATAGTAATGGCATATGACAGAAGTTGTCCATGCAGGTCCACTTCGTCGTATAGACCCTAATGTAACAGTTACATTTGGTATGTTTAAAATTTTAACAGAATTTTCAACGGATTTTATTTATTTTTTTTTAGTTGCCAAATTCGTTCCAAATGGTGGAGGCTATTTGATTTTTTACTTGTTATATAGCTTACAAGGCGATGCAATCTTTCAAAAATTTGAGTAACTTTAACTATATAAATTTTGTGCACAGTATTTTTTATGCTTATTTTTTTCCTCTTAATGGCATTTAAAAAAATGCGCATTTATTAAATATTCAATAAACTTTTTTTTTAATCTAGCGTGGAATAAGTGCTTCTTTGTATATAGACCTCTTTCCCCGCAACTATGTTTATTGAGCTTTTCACCAACCGATAGTTGCTAACTTGCCATCGAGTTACTTTCTTTTTTTATCGAAAAATGTTCTCCAAATTCTTATTTGATGAAAGAAGTCGTTATCGTTACCTCAGCAATCAATTTTATATTTTGTGAATTTCAAATATTTATGGCTTCGCAATTATTGTATTTATTTTTATGACTCTTTGTATTCAAAAAGCAATAAATCAATTCAATATCTAGCACAAATTGCTACGAAACCAAACTATAGATTGTTGGAATTTCTTTGAAAAAAGAAAATTAAATATTTTGAAGGAACTATGTTGCGGGTGGCAATAATACTTTAATAGCATAGAAAGCTTAGAAATTCCTAGAGAATCTATTTGAATTGAAGCATTTTCGAACTGACGAGGAACAGTGGAAATTTTCAGTAAACACAATGGCTAGACTAAAGTGGGCGAATGTATTATTTCAACTTAATAGGAAATAAGGACCGAAACATTTAAAATTCCGTTATGTGGGAGAAATTCAAAATTCTATGCTGATTAGGAATATAAATATTTTTATGGCGTCTCCAACGAATATTTTAAGATGTTCCAAATCAAGTGATGGAAGGCATAATGGGGACATTTTTTTTCTCTCATTTTAAGGAAAAGGTTGAATTCATTTCATTGCAAGGGCCCTTCCCTCAATCCTTCCATCCATAAGAAATCATCCAAACTTTAAAAATAAATACTGCGGGAAGGAAATACAACAAAACATTTTTCCGCTTCCTTAACAGAACCACAGCCACCCACTTTTCAAAAAAAACTCAAATAACACAACACAAGCAAATGAAAGAAGCTTACATTTCGCATTGTAAATTACTTTAAGTAATGCTCTACTAACGACGAGTTAAACAAAGTTTACGATGACATTTAATGAAAAAGCAACAAGAGTCACAAAGCAAAAAGGAGAACTACAATGCACGAACGAATACGAAACGGAAGTGAAAACCTAAATTTATTTGCTAACAAATGATGCTACGCATCATCGTCAGCAGTGGAAGCAGCAGCAATAGAAGCACCAATAAAATGAGCAAAATTTTAATGTAATGGAATAAAATGTAACGACCAGAAAAGTTGTCATCATCATTGTTGGCCCATTATTGTCGAAAATTACCTGGCGAAATGTGACAACAAAGCTGCCTACAGCGGCAAGGGGAAACGGTAATTACGAAATGTGTTGATAACAACAGGACAACAGAGGACATTGCGTGAGACAATAATTGTTTGGCAAAAGAGAGGGCTATAAATAGAACAGCCTTTGAGTGTGTGTGCGTTACTACTTTTGTGTGAGCAAGTACCTGGTTTGTAAATAGCCCATACGAACAAGTATATGGGAATGTGAATGTTCATTTCACATTCATTTATGTTTGGCTCCTCCATATAGAATTGGAATTTATTTTCGCATTAATTCGTAGGTATCTCTTTTTATTACTATTCCCTTAGAATGGTTGGGGAAATTCAATCAAACATTTTATCATGCCGACATGCCATCACAAATGAACAATGACAAAAACTTTTGTAATTTTTAGAATTTGGAATTTGCGACAGGGAAGTGTGGGGAAAATAAATAAATTAGTAGAAATAGTAGAAATATTTGGCGGAAGAATGGAATAAAGTGAACACAAAAGAAAAACGAAATAGAGACATGCGAGGTGGGAAAGTGAAATATTTGGGAAACGAGTTACAATGTTTCATTACGAATTGCTGTTAGACATAAAATGTTCATAGGGAGATACCAGAAAAAGTGGATGGCTAAAAGTATAAAAAATAAAGATAAATGCATAAGACGAAGAAATCCGATATTATACGTAAAATCTATGCCCGACAATTACAGGGTAAGATAAAAAACTGCAACGAAGTCAAACGCCATAATTTTTACTTTTTTTTTAATTTTTTTTGAATGAATGTAAAATATGTCGGAAATAGCATCAAATTTTAGAATAAGCTTAGATGTGTTCGAATTGGTCACCTTTGGCACGAATTCATGTCAAAATTTCAAACGGCCAATGAAACCGTCAAACGGTGCCCGAATGTTGCTCTGCGGTATTTTGTCCGCACTTTGGTATTTTTTAGTGCCAACGTTGCTTTCCAAAGTACTCCAGACACGGATTGGTATCCGGAGATTTTGGTACCCATTGTGAGCTGAAAATGAAGCAAGGAACCTCATTTTGAAACCATTCTTGGGTGACGGAATGTCCAAGGTCTGCGACCATATGTTTGCTTCCTCCAGAATATTTTTGCGATAATTTTCGGTATTTATTCTAATGACACGGTCGATTAAGATGAGCGGAGAGCGACCATCGGCTGTTATGGCGGCCCACACCATCACCATGGCTGGCGCTTGAGTTCTTGTGGCCAACCAAAGGTTCACATTTTCAGCTGAACTCTTTGGCAAGTAAAAACGATCATTTTTTATCTGCTGGACAAAGAAAGTTTTCTCGTCGGAGAAAACCAAATTCAGCAATTCACCAATTTCGGCCAAGCGAAGCAACTCTTTAGCTCTTTTGAGTCTATTTTCTTTCTGTTGCGGTGTCAGTTCTTGTACTTTTTGGAATTTCAATAGCTTTACTCCGAGCTCATTTTTCAATATTTGCCGAATGAAATATTGCGATATGTTCAGCTCACGAGTCATTTTTCGGCCACTGCGACTCGGTTTTCGATCAAGTCGCTTCTTTACTTTTCGAACAATTTCTGCTGATGTTGCTATTTTCTTCCGTCCACTTCTTTGACGTCGGGCTACGCTACCAGTATCACGGTAACGAGCGATGATACGAGACACAAAAGATTTATTCACATTTAAATGCTGGAGTGCTTTAACGATAGCCACTTGTGGTTTTCCAGCCAAATATAAAGAAATCAGACTATCACGCTTGAATTCCATCACGAATAACTTTTTTTATGAAAAATTCTCATCAAAATGCTTTTGTACGCTTGTAAACAATATAATGAGCTGTCACCGGAATAATTTTAATAGCTGTCGGACGAGTCGCTTAGAAATGACAGCAGTCTGAATTTGGTTGCAGTTTTGTTCATCTCATCCTGTATAGTGTGTTTGGCAATATTACAGATAACAATGAGAGGATTTTTTGGTTGAAATATTTCAATATGTAAGTGAACCCGAGGGATCTTGATACTTGTTTATTAAGTCGCATTATCTTCTTCGACCTACATAAATTGGTTATGAATATAGTTTGGTAGTTTGCACATTTTTCGTATAGAATCATGTTTTTATTTGTTTTTGGCTCAGTCATACAGGGTTGACTCCATGCCTTTTTTATTTAAAACGGAAATTTTCTTGTTTCGTCATTTCTTAATTTTTTCCCCTGAGTTCCAAGTTCCTTTTTTACTTGTTTTATTTTTTTTTCCCCTATTTACTTTTAACTTACATTTGTCATAATTTTCCGACAAATCCATTTAACAAATAATACTTATGACTTCTTTTGAACAAAGTTTACCATCAACATTGGTCAACTAATTGAAATAAATAACTCAATTATATTTTGTGGATTTTCTTTTTGACTTTTAAAGGCAAATTGTTTTCTGCTTTCCTGCAATTATTTCCATTCTCTGTTTTTCCACGAATTTTGCGTAAGATTTAATTGACTTTTATTTTACCAATTATTTACGGTTTGCTATCTTCAAGTTTTCGTAGCATGTCGTTATAAAAGTCCACGTCCATACTAAATTATGTCGTTTTTTTTTTTAAGAAATTAATTAGAGAATTTTTTATATGAATGTGCCTTTTCTCTCTCTCTCCAATGTTTTTCTTATTTATTTTAATATGCCATTTGCTACAACTTACCGACACAAGTGCCTCAGTGACATAACGCCATAGACCTGTTCCTTTGGTATAATTTTGTCAATTAGTAATCGGCCATAACGCTCAAAGAACATTTCTCTTCTGGTACTATAAATAATGGGCTGAAATGACAAAAGCAGAAAGAGAAAAACAAAGAGGATGAAAACAAAACCGTCGGGGAAAGTGAATTACAAAAAAGAAAACAAAATACATTTGCCCAAAAAAAGCATGGCACAATAATATCGTATTTATTCAAATTTTTAATGAGATATTAAATTTAAATGCAATGACTGAAATAAGCTAAATGAAACTAATTATTGGATTAACAAAAAAAAATATTCAAAAGAAATTTTGAGGACTAATCTTTTTTTTTTTTTTTTTTTTTTTTTTTTTTTTTTTTTATAATTTGAAAGTTTTTTTTTTTTTTTTTTTTTTTTTTTTGCTTCAAGGAAAATTATGGCATCTGTATCGAAGTGAGATCATAAAAGGTTAAAAGGGACACTTGAAAATGACAAAAACACTGTCGACACTGGTTTGACTAAGAACTCATTGCTATGAATAAATAAAGTCTAAAGACAGGTTGGCGGGAGTCTTATAGACGAATTGTTAGGGAGTCTTGATAGACGAGCTATAGGGAGTTGCTCCATGGACGATCTGAAGGGAGTCCCTTTAAAGACGAGCTGAAGGGAGTCCCTTTAAATACTAACTAAAGGCAGAGAGTCCCTTTATGGACGAGCTGAAGGCAATGCGTCCCCTTATTGACGAACTGGTCAGGGAGTCTTTATAGACGAGCTGGTGGCCAGGGAGTTTTCATAGAGGAGCTGACGCCCAGGGAGTTTTCATAGAGGAGCTGATGGCCAGGGAGTCTCTATAGACGAGCTGATGGACAAGGAATCTCTATAGACGGTATGGCTAGGGAGTCTTTATCGACGAGCTAATAACCAGGGAGTCTTTATAGACGAGCGGATGGCCAGGGAGTCTCTATAGACGAGTTGAGTCTCTATAGACGAGCTGATGGAAATATAGTCTTCATTGACGGGCTGATGGCCAGGGAGTCTGTATGGACGAACTAAAGGCGGGGTGTCCTCTTATAGACGAGCTGGTGGCCGGGCAGCCTTTAAAGACGAACTGATGATATTTATATATGACCCTTTAGGAGTCTTTATAGACGCCAAATACACTATACAGGTTGAGATGAAAAAAATGCAATTAACTTCAGACTGCTGTAATTTCTAAGCCACTCATCTGACAGATGTTAAAATTATTCCTGTGACAGCTCAAAAGCATATTGGTGAGAATTCTCCAGAAAAAAAATTATTCGTGATGAATTTCAAGCGTTATGGTGTGATTTCTTTATATTTGGCTGGAAGTCACAAGTGGCTATCGTTAGAGCATTTCAGCATTTAAATGTGAATAAATCTTTTGTGTATCGTACCATCGCTTGATCGAAAACCGCGTTGCAGTGGACGAAAAATGGCTCGTGAGTTGAACATATCGCAATATTCCATTCCATTCCATTGAAATTCCAAAAAGTGCAAGAACTTATACCGCAACAGAAATAAAATAGACTCAAAATAGCTAAAGAGTTGCTTCGCTTGGCCGAAAGAGGTTAACTGCCGAATTTGGTTTTCTACGATGAGAAAACATTCGTTGTCCAGCAGTTTGAAGACAAACTAGATGATCGTGTTTACTTGCCAAAGAGAAAATGTGTTCCTTGCTGAATATGTGTACCTTCGGTTGGCCACCAGAACTTAAGCGCCGGCCATGGTGATGATGTGGGCCACCATAACAGCCGATGGTCGCTCCTCACTCGTATTAATCGACGGTGGCATCAGAAGTAATTCCGAATATTATCGCGAAAATTTTCTGGAGGGTGTATTAAAGACTTGGGCACGCAAACATTTTGGCCGCAGACCTTGGACATTCCCACAGAACTCAGCACCAACGCACTCAGCATGTGCCACCCAAGTATGGTAACAAAATGAGGTTCCTCTCTTCATTTCCAACATCGTACAATGCCCACCAAAATCTCCGGATACCCATCCTTTGGACTATTGTGTCTGGAGTATTTTGGAAAGCACGGTTGGCACTAAAAAATACCAAAGTGTCGATCACCTCAAATAAGCGCTTCGCCGGGAATGGGCTAAAATACCGCAGAGCAACATTCGGGCAGCGTGTGACGGTTTTATTGGCCGTTTGAAGGCCATAATTCGTGCCAAAGGTGACCAATTCGAACAAATCTAAACTTATTCTGACATTTTTGCTTTCATTCAATACAATTTAAATTTTTTTTAAAAATTATGGCGTTTGAATTTTTTTTTTTTTGTCTCACCCGGTATATACATGAGACTGCGAGCAGAATTGAGTGTAATAAAAAATCAAAAGAGCAACTGAGAAAAGGAATAATAGAAGTGAAAATAATTTTATAAAGCATTTATTGATGATCCCAAACCCTGATGCCAAAATATTTCTTAAAAAAGGAAAATATTTTTTCCACTGGGTTTCACCTTCTGAAAAAACTTTCTAGCGGCCAATGAAGAATATGTTGCACTTTACTACCCTATAATATTATTAAAGTTTATTACCTCACGATCGTATTCCTTTAAAATGTATAAATGAAAAGAAATAATATTATATAAAAAATATTATGAGTAACGATTTTTTGGAAGGAAAAGTTAAAGCTGTTAATTCAGTCTGTGTCAGGTCCATAAAATTGCCCATTAAAAAATTACTACGACCTTTTTCCATTTTAAAAGTAAATGTGAATATTAAATTTTTCTCTCCTAAAATTGACGTTCTCCCCAAACCCACTCTCAATGGGACACATCTTGAAGCAATAACATTTTTCCTACTCTAATAGAATATGCTCATCAAAATTGTTGCCAGCGGAAGTGTGGTTTTGTAGCTTCACGATAATAATGCTTGTAAGGAATTTTAATATAAGTACCCCCCTCTACCACAGCCACCACCATTCCCACTACGGCCACAATATTTTGACACCCAGTGAATTCCAAGAAAAAAAATATTACTTATGAGAAGCATTATAACCATTGCCAACGCCATTTTGACAAGAATGCATACCAAATATTTGGTTAAAAATGACATCATTTTGCTTGAAAATGACAATCTTCCAACATTCTTTTGCCAAAGAAACCATAAGAATTTTTCGAATTTTTTCAAGTACTTTCGGTAACGCGTGCACACACATACGCGTACAGTTATATAAATGTTAATACATGTACACATGTATTAATCGATATATGTTTGGGAATAATATATATGCAATAGATATACAGATAATACAGTGGTTAAGAAGGGGTTATTGGAAAATAAAACCTTGTCTAAAAAGGGGAATTAATTTTGGAAGGCAAAAGTTAAAGATAAAAAAATATCCAAGAGTTATAAATGACATTCCTTTTTGACAATTACATAGGGTCCAAAATAAAGTACTTATATGGATCATCTCTTAAACGCCTAAAATCGGTTTGCATAAAAGATTTCGAGAAATATATTTGTTATACGAATATGTATTTACCCACAAGTTGAAATTTTGAGGCTGAAATTAAATGTCTATTTTTTTATATATTGCGCCATTTTTAAATTTCATATCATAAATAAATCATACGTTTATATAAAAAAAATCTGGAAACCTGTACTATTTTCAAAGGCTTACTACTATTATTGTTATGACAATGACTGCATCTAGAACAGGGATCTTTCTTAGTCTTAATATATTTTACATTTTTTTCGCAAATGTACCACTGTACCTCCTCCCCACCCATCATAACCTTCATTCTTACTCTCCCTCTACAAACAAATATAATATGACTACTTACAATATTCACCATTACACATACATACCTTATATGGCAATTCAATCATCGGTATGTTACGTAAAAGTATTTGCAAGCATGAGACATTTTGATAAACATAATTACGGCCATTTTCAGTCAATTTATCAAGTAATGCCAGTACAGCTGATGAACCACCATCCGGTGGATTAGGATTGGCGCCATATCTGAAAACGACACAGAAAAAGAACAAAAACAAAAACTGATGAGAGCGAAACTCAATTGCTGTTGCCATTAATGCAAAACAAAAAAGAAAAAATGAATAAACCAATAGAGTAATGGATGCGTGAAATTTGAAGAAATTCTTTCTTCTTATCACATTCTGACATGACTTCCTGTCGTTGAAAATGGAATTTTAAATATTTACGGGTGCATTGATGTGAGAAGGGATAAAATATATCGCTACACTACAAAAGGGAAATTCAAAATGGTGAGAAATTGAAAGGGAGAGGAAAAATAATTTTAACAGAAGAGCTACCTGAAGGGAGTTTTTACGAAATTGCTAATGTGAGTCTTTACGACGAGCTGAAGTGAGTCTTTACAGACGAGTCTAAGGGAGTCTTTTCACAGACGAGCGAGAGGGAGTCTTCATAGACGAGCGAGAGGGAGTCTTCATAGACGAGCGAGAGGGAGTCTACCGACGAGCGAGATAGTCTTTACGGACGAGCGAGAGGGAGTCTTTACAGAAGAGAGAGAGGGAATCTTTACAGGCGAGCGAGAGGGAGTCTTTATAGACGAGCGAGAGGGAGTCTTTATAGACGAGCGAGGGGGAGTCTTTATAGACGAGCGAGGGGGAGTCTTTATAGACGAGCGAGAGGGAGTCTTTATAGACGAGCGTGAGGGAGTTCTTATAGACGAGCGAGATAGAGTCTTTATAGACGAGCGAGAGGGAGTCTTTATAGACGAGCGAGATAGAGTATTTATAGACGAGCGGGAGGGAGTCTTTATAGACGAGCGAGAGGGAGTCTTCATAGACGAGCGAGAGTGAGTCTTCATAGACGAGCGAGAGGGAGTCTTCATAGACGAGCGAGAGGGAGTCTTCATAGACGAGCGAGAGGGAGTCTTCATAGACGAGCGAGAGGGAGTCTTCATAGACGAGCGAGAGGGAGTCTTCATAGACGACCGAGAGGGAGTCTTTATAGACGAGCGAGAGGTAGTCTTTATAGACGAGCGAGAGGTAGTCTTTATAGACGAGCGAGATAGAGTCTTTATAGACGAGCGAGATAGAGTCTTTACGTACGGGATTCTTTACATACGAGAGAGAGGGAGTCTTTACAGACGAGTGAAGGTAATCTTCATGGATGGCCTGAAAGGAGTCCTAAAAGACGTGCTGAAACAGATGACATATAGACGAAATGAAGACAGTCTTTATAGACGAGATGAAGGCTGAATTGAGTCTTTATATGGTAGTTAGATGACCTACATTCCTTACAGATAAAGGTATGGAGTCTTTCTTGATGGGCTAAAGTGAGTCTTTACATGGGAGCTGGAGGTTTAAATTAAAATCGAGGCAGAGGTTGACTTTACATAAAGGTTGGACGAATCTTTATAGACGAACTGAAGGTGACCCCTTTATTATCAAGGTAAAATAATTAATAAGAAAGGTGGTAGATGGAAGGGTGTCATATTGGCGGTCGAGATGGGAATCTTACAGGCTGGTCTGGAAGGAATATTATAGGCGAAACTGAGAGGCTATGTGGGAGAAAGTTTTGTAAATGAGCTGGACCCTTATTGACCAGTCCTATAAATCAGCTGAAAGGATGTTTTTAAATGAGTGAAAAGGAATTTTGTAGATGAGTTTAAAGTCTGGGTGTATCCAAAGGCTAACTAAAACCTTTTAAACGAGATTAAGGCCTAAAGTATTTGTAGATAATCTGCAGCCATAGAGTTTTCCTAGACGAGATTAAGTCTAAGGTAATATGGTAATAAAAATAAAAGGAAATATGGTAATTTTTTTACCATAGCATAAAAATGTCATCCAGTTAGCTATAAAAATAATTGTTTAATCTCCGAAAATTTGTCACTTTTCAATTTTTTTACGATTTTTTCAATTTTCGTAAATATTGTAATGGCTTATGACAAAAGTGGCCTATGAAGGTCCACGACGTCGTATAGACCCTAATATAAAGGGTACATTCGGTATTTTTAAGATTTTAACAGGATTTTTAAGGGATTTTATTTTTTTGAAAATTCTAGTCTTCTCATAAAAGATAAATTGGTCGAATCTAGAAGACAATTTAAATGTTGGAAAACTGAAAAGCAATTCTTCAAAATGTCAAAAATAAGGAATTTCTCTGTTATATCGAGGTTGCACCCCAACTCTCTGATGGTCTAATATATCTCGCTTTCCATTAACATCGGACATAATTAATTTAAAAACAATACAAATCATTTTTTTTTTTTTTTTCAATATACTGATGGAGGATCTGAACTGACTTTTGTCACAACTTTTATTTGGTCCCCTGGCAGAGCCAGTGAATTTTTTTAATCGTGGTTGGTTGATGTTTAAAATTTTCAACAGATTCGGTGGCAATTGCACATTCCGGTTTTATTAAATATAATTGATTTTTTAAAATCTAAAGGGATATAATTCATCCTCTCAAAAAATGTACAATGTAGATGCATGTTTTGGAACGGTCCCCATGTAATGGAACTAGTCACATGTTTCAAATATTTGAAATATATTCCATATTAAGCTCTCTCTAAATTTTTAAGATTTCTAAGGCCAAGTATAGTATAGTCTCATAAAGGGTGATTTTTTTGAGGTTAGGATTTTCATGCATTAGTATTTGACAGATCACGTGGGATTTCAGACATGGTGTCAAAGAGAAAGATGCTCAGTATGCTTTGACATTTCATCATGAACAGACTTACTAACGAGCAACGCTTGCAAATATTTGAATTTTATTACCAAAATCAGTGTTCGGTTCGAAATGTGTTTCGCGCTTTACGTCCGATTTATGGTCTACATAATCGACCAAGTGAGCAAACAATTAATGCGATTGTGACCAAGTTTCGCACTCAGTTTACTTTATTGGACATTAAACCTACCACACGAATGCGTACAGTGCGTACAGAAGAGAATATTGCGTCTCTTTCTGAGAGTGTTGCTGAAGACCGTGAAATGTCGATTCGTCGCCGTTCGCAGCAATTGGGTTTGTGTTATTCGACCACATGGAAGATTTTACGCAAAGATATTGGTGTAAAACCGTATAAAATACAGCTCGTGCAAGAACTGAAGCCGAACGATCTGCCACAACGTCGAATTTTCAGTGAATGGGCCCTAGAAAAGTTGGCAGAAAATCCGCTTTTTTATCGACAAATTTTGTTCAGCGATGAGGCTCATTTCTGGTTGAATGGCTACGTAAATAAGCAAAATTGCCGCATTTGGAGTGAAGAGCAACCAGAAGCCGTTCAAGAACTGCCCATGCATCCCGAAAAATGCACTGTTTGGTGTGGTTTGTACGCTGGTGGAATCATTGGACCGGATTTTTTCAAAGATGCTGTTGGACGCAACGTTACGGTGAATGGCGATCGCTATCGTTCGATGCTAACAAACTTTTTGTTGCCAAAAATGGAAGAACTGAATTTGGTTGACATGTGGTTTCAACAAGATGGTGCTACATGCCACACAGCTCGCGATTCTATGGCCATTTTGAGGGAAAACTTCGGAGAACAATTCATCTCAAGAAATGGACCGGTAGACTATTTTTTGTGGGGCTACGTCAAGTCTAAAGTCTACAGAAATAAGGCAGCAACTATTCCAGCTTTGGAAGACAACATTTCCGAAGAAATTCGGGCTATTCCGGCCGAAATGCTCGAAAAAGTTGCCCAAAATTGGACTTTCCGAATGGACCACCTAAGACGCAGCCGCGGTCAACATTTAAATGAAATTATCTTCAAAAAGTAAATGTCATGGACCAATCTAACGTTTCAAATAAAGAACCGATGAGATTTTGCAAATTGTATGCGTTTTTTTTTTTAAAAAAAAGTTATCAAGCTCTTAACAAATCACTCTTTATATGGGTATAACCCCCGAGCATAACTTTATTTTAAGAAATTCTACATTTCACCCTAAACAATTTTTATATTTTGGTCTAAGGGTTGGAATTTCAAGAGCGATTGCATAGGGTTCCCTTAACATTTGCCATATTTTAAAATTTTTGAGAAAATTTCAAGAATGATTGCAAACTCCGTATCTTACTTCATTCACCATTTTCGGTTGAAGGCCTCTTCTCGGGACCAGGGGAATTTTGTACTGTTGTAATTACAAAAAAACCAAATCTCCCAAAAACGACAACCAGTGACTGCTAACAAATGTCCTCACTAAAGTAGCAAATGTAAAATATGTCCACATACTACCACACTCACACACACACACACACTCGTAGATAACAATCGTTTTAACTAATGCCAGCAACTACAAACACACAAACAGGATATTAAAAAAATCAAAGTCATTCATTTAGCCTTTGCCAGCAAAAAAAAAACACTCCTGCTGAGCATTTAGAGAATATTTTGTAAACGTTTTACAAAATTGCAATAGAAACAACAATAATAACAACATGGAACAATGATTGCATCCTTTTGGCATTACAAATTGCATGCGCCTGGCAATATGTGAAGAGTTGAGTACATGTTTGCGGCCACAAACATTCCGGCTAACTTAAATTAATATTGGAAGGAAGGCAGGCAGACAGGAAGGAGGCTGCACTTTGGGGGAGCAGAAGGGCGGAGGTTTACCAATTTCTAACCTTATTTTTAGTTTGATTGGTTGTTGGACAGCATTTGCTTGTGTGTGTGTGTGTGTGTTTGAGTAGTTGTATGCAACACACAATCTAGCTTACACACATATGCAAATAACGCCCAGCCGACTTTTAGGAAAATTGGCATATAACCAGCAGCAATTTTGCGCTTAACATTCTGTGCAAATTTTTGCTTAGAGAATGGCTTTTAGATTTAGCAGCCATTTTACTCCAATATTAGACAAGAGGCAAATAACAAATCAGCAAAAATTTGCGGGGAAAACCACAAAAACTAAAGGCTGAATCCCCACTGGGCTCTGTATGTGATTCTCACTTACTCATACATGGGTAATTTTCCAAAAAAGTTCGGGACTAAAAGTACACAATCATCATTGTTATTTTGTTAAGGACTATGACCATCT